AAACAAAAAACAAACTCCAAACAAATGCATCTTTAAAAGAAATGAACCCTTGCTTTTGGCATGCTGTGGTACTTTCCAAAGCTTTTGAATGGCTGCACATTAAGAAAGGTTTGAGCTGTCCAGTTATTTAGGCTTCCTTTACTCACCTGAACTGCTGACTTTGTCTGTCCTTTCTTGCATAATAACTACTTTTTGATTGCTTAAAATACAGAAGCTTGTCCGTCCRATTTGTTGTGTTTAGTCTTACCTAATTCTGTGTGTCTTGTATTGTTTTACCTTGTAGGGTCCACCTTGAAACGACTATGTCTAGGCAAAGATCACAGTAGTAGTAACTATCCCATTTTTGTTTCTCAGTATTTCCTTCATGGCATGGGATGTTCTTGGCTTTTCTTTATTATTTTTTTTTTTTACTAAAAGCTAGTTGTTTAATAACTAGAGCTGATGCACTTACATGGAACTAGACTGTATAAATTGTGATACTTTGGGACTAATGCATGTGCTGTGATGTCATGGGAACCTTGCATGCTACAAGACAGTCGTGTCATTGTGTGTKTGTGAGACCGTGCACGCATGCAGCCAGGAAACTGAGTCCTGTCTGAAACTGTCTCTCTGAAATACACACCTTTATATGACTGCAGTTCTCTGCTGGAGGAATTGATAGCCTAAAACTATCCCAGCCCCTTGAGCTGCATGAAATAATTAACACCAATTGAAGAGCTTTCCTCTCAAAAGCCTTACTTTTCTCACTTATATCCCGAGTAAAGGAAAAGGAATTGAGCAGTATTCACTTAGAAGTGATGTTGCAGGTTGAATGCATGATCATTTAAAGGTTATCAATGTATTTTATATAATTGTAGGACTAATTAGTGTACTCGGTTTCATTGGCTGGTAACTGATTAACAGAGAAAAGACTCAATGTTCATGTTTGCTTATATAAWAATTTTTACTACAGTTTTATGAACTTTTTGCTTGGAGAGATGGTCTCTATTTCCAATCTTAAGCCTACCTTAGCTGAAAAGTTACTTTACATTTTCTACTTAAGTCAGATTCAGATTCCTTCAGTTCCAGTCCCCTGCTGACCTTACTATGTCAGACTTGTGGTCATTAATGCAGAAAAAGGACAGAAAATTGTTTTTCCTTGTTCTTCTAGAAAAAAAAAAAGTTAACTTACAAAGTTAAATCTTTGTCAATACTCTTTCCTGACTGCTTTTATCTATACCAAAAGTTCTCTCTCTTTTTCTCAGTCACACCTCCGCACACACTMCATCCTCTCTCCCCTCTCTTTTATACTTTCATGGTCGTGGTATGGTTTTTTTTCCCCAAATACATGCAAATAGCCAAATAAATGGTCCTGACATCATTGAGAGAAGTGCTGGATTCCCRGAGCCTTTGAGGCGCAGGAGCCAGCCCTGCCTGTAACCTCCATGACAATGACATTTTTCCAGGAGGGCAGTAAACTTATGCAAGTGAATTAAATGGTAAATTCATTTTATAAATGCTTGCAGTGTTAGCAATCCATCTCACCTCCCACTTTCTCATGGTAATCTCTGATGAGATGTATGCCTTGGGATGTCAGCATTACTGGGCTGCATTCCTGGCTTCTTTTCCTGTAAATTTCACCCAAGACAAGTTAGTGGCCAGGGTAAMATGTTGTGATAGAAAATAGAAACCCATTGGACTTGGACCATTTCTTTAAGCAAAGGTGTTCTGCAGCCAGGAGGGGGAGGGTTGGGAGTCTGAGAAGCCACCATTTGAGTGGCAGTGGGTGAGAAGGGGGTTGAGGTGCAGAAGTGAGACAGAGACACCATCTCAACTCTGTGTATGTGGTTTTCAGGATCCTCAACCAACAGCCTGGTGACGTGTCCTGAGCCCCTCCCACAGTCGACGCTGCAGGTTCAGGCCAACAACAGTAACAACAAGAAAGGGACGTTCACAGATGACCTGCACAAGCTGGTGGACCAGTGGACGAGCAAAACTGTTGGAGCTGCACAGACAAAACCTTCTTTAAACCAACTGAAGCAGAACCAAAAAAGGCAAGACATGGAGCCAAAGGCTAACCCCATGCAAACGCAGAATGAGACMTGTGGAGTAAGTGGCCCTCCTTGAAGGACATACCTTTTGCTATGTGTCTGACAGCCTTTGCAGAACTCAGATGTGGAGGAGGACATAGACTAAAATTACTCCAGATAAATGCTTTCTATAAGTGTCCAGCTCTTTTCATTCAGTACTAAAACAATTTTTTTAAAAAAAATTGTCCTTTGGAATAATCTTAAGGGATATGTGGGCAGCAATATACATAAAAATATATATTTTTAAACTYCAAACTGCTTATTAACAGCGATACACAGCAATACTTCTATCGTTACCATCTGTTGCTCAACTTCAGTTTCAACTGTTCCTAAGGTTTTCTTTTTCATGTTTAATTTTAACCTTCCTTAGAACAGGGGCTGGTGGCTCAGCGTTTGCGAGCTGTTGTTTAAGTGGAATTGGAGTGAGTGCTATGAGAGGGGACAGCTTGGGGTGTGCAGACCCTTGCTTGTTGTACAGGGCATCTGGACAAATCCATCCTCAGAAATGCTGCCACAGTATCCTACAACAAACAGGGAATTGGGAACATCCCCATTCRTCCCTTGGTGTTTGCAGCAGCAGGACAAAGCCATTGCAAGGTGCATCTGTGTCTGCGTCCAGTGCTGCTGTTGTGGTTGAGGGGTGCTACAGAGGCAGGCACAAAAAGGAATGAGCACACATCCAGGATTCCAGTTTACCATCTTGTCCCACCCTGGTCTGGGTTTCCAGATTTCTTCTCACAATTGGAGATTCTTTGACTAATCATTGTTGCTGGRTTCATTTTCTTGCAAGATTGAAAATTGAGCCTAAATAGAGGAAAATAGCARTGAGATGAGCTGTTTTGTCATCCCTTCAAAGCAAGAGAAATAGATCTGGATAGGAAACCATTGCCTTTTTGGCATGTAGAAAGGAAAAAACCTTGTAGCAGTGGTAGCTCTGTAGGTATTGGTGAAGTGGGGTGTACCAAAGCAGGAACCCCACTTGTGCCTCTGCTTTGATACCTGCTGATTCCTGAGTACGTAAATAATCCTTTCACACAGTAATGGTTTTAATAAGCTTGAGAGTAAGCAATGTCTATTAAAACTCTAATAGTTCTTATAAAATAAGTCAGTGCTAGTAAACCCAAATTGAAGATTTCCATAGTGGTGGTGAGGGCACAGAGTTTATTCTGTTAAGTCACTTATTACTTTGTTTTGATGTGCTTTTTACAGCATTTTGATATCTTTCCCTGAGACCTCTGCAGAACTTTCAAGTATTTGACGTGGATGTTTTGCACACCTGTATCTCTGGAGAAACAAGTGGTTATTTTACTTATTTAAATCACCTGTTAATATCAGTTTAGGGTTGATTTTACTTCCTGCAGTCTTGGTGTTTCTCTCTCAAAGCCTGTGGAGAAGGCAGAGTACCACTGTGAGAGCAGTAGAAATGTCCCARTCTCAGTACACTGATCTTAGAGGGTTTTTGTCTTTCTCAACCATGACAGTTGGAATGGATTATATTCCAGGGAATCAAGAGAGCTGACTGAAGTTTTTTGCAGTCAATTTACCGAGAGCATGGAAGGGCTGGGATTCCCTGCTCTCCATGTCACATMATTCCATGTTGCTTGGAGGAGAGGCATCAGTTGGAGCCCTGGGGTGGGTGAGACTTGGGGTGGTTTGGGACATGAAGTCCTCATGACTGTGATGGCCGCAGCAGAGATGCAAAGGCAAATGGCAAACATTCCTGGTGTGCATTTTGTTGAGTGTTTTGGTCATGAAGATGGCACAGGATGCTGCAGGGGGCAGAAAACAGGGCAGTAGGTATGATATAGAAGACTTTGGTTTGGGAGTTAAGCATCGTTCWGCTGCTGGTACCCTTTGAATTTCACCCTAAAGGAGAAATTTAAGTTGTGGGAGAATAGGGCTGCATGGTGTTGGGAGAGAAATGGCCAACAGAGGAGGAAGGGAACAACATGAGAGGACTCGTGGTGTGGACAAGTGACCTGTGTGTCAGTGGTTGGAGGGATGAGCTCCACAGGTAGATGTTACACCTGTGCTGAATCACAGCTGAGTCACCTGAAAAGACAAAAAGAACTTGGGAAATCACATAAAGGATGGAGAAAATAGCTTTCCAAGAGAGATAATGTGAAGCTCGGGCTGTACTTCTTCAGTTCATCTGATAACACCGTCTTTTGTCACCTSTTTTGATCAAAAATGCCTTTGCAAGAAAAGAATAAGGAGCACTAAGCGGATTTCCAGCCCATCAGAGGATGTTATAATAAGGTTTTACATCGGAAATAAAGGCTGGATAAGTAGGAAACAAGGTGTTTCTTATGCCTTCTGTGTTTTTGTTTGTTTTTTTTACTGGAATAAATTAGTATGGAGCTGTTAGGGTGAGTTGTCTCTGATGGGCTTGGTTTTGGGAAAAACTGTCGTTGGTCCCATGTGATGGTCAGAAATGAGGGGCTGGGGGTGGCAGGATTTGTACCTTCACTTCTATGTTGTCTCTGGGGGTTATTGTAAAGAGAAACACCTCCCTGAGGAGTTTTCATACAGGAGTAGGAGTGAAGAGTATTGTCCCACAATGAAAAATRCATTACAAAATGAAAAAAAAAAGTTAACTATACTTCTAAATAGAAAAATACGTTTTTCACTTTAAARTTTTCTCTTACTGTTCAGCCACTGTTATGAATATGCAGAGCTGTTGTGTGGCTGACTTGAAATCTTCTCTTTCCCTCTGGAACCAGACGAYTTACTTTCCTGAGTTACTTGAGATTCCTTCTACCACCAGCCACAGCAAGTTGTATGTTGTGAATACAAAATATTATTTTTTGACTAAGTGAAGGTTACTTTTTAAGGCTGGAAATAGAAGAGAAACTGGTAGTGTGTTTGTTTAATAAGAGTGAATGGTTTTCTTTTAATCTTCTGTCATCAGAAATCTAGGCAGCAATAATATAATTTGGGATTCAAAGGAAAACTTTATATTCTGCTTTGCTTCTATGGAAGTTACCAGTCCATTTGGCTGCAAATCCTCTTTGATCATATTAGAAATTTGGGGGGAACCTTTCAAAGGGAGAGGAGCCTCCCTCCAGTTGTGCCATGGGAGTACTGAAATGTTCCTTTTCAGATGGTTTAATGAAGCATGGAAATGTAGTATCAGCATTAATTTGAAATGCAGTAGGAGATATTAGGAAGAACAGAGGTCAAATTGCCTGATAATAGTGATTTCTCTCTCTGTGATTTGTRTGAAGATATGATGAAATAATCCTTTTTTGCGGGTAATTTTGGTTAGCATTAGTCAAGGAATACACTTAGGAATGTGAGCTGCCTTCTGTGCAAAGAATACTGAATATTGAATACTTAAAGGCACTATTTGGAGATGCCTAAGAATGAGGGCCTTGGACAAAAATGCTTTTAACTCTCTATGCTGTTATGTAGCTCCATGGCTTTGAAAGAAAAAAACATTACCCAGAAAAAGCTTAAAGATGTTCCCAGTGCATAGTGAGGTTGTTTCTGGGWACACACAGGTCTGTGTCACAGGGGACTTGGGCAGCCAAAAGCAGTGGCATCTGAAACTCTGCTGGCATCTCCTGACTCGGGGGCCAGGGTGAGCTGCCAGGAGTGGCTGTGCTGGGCATGGCCACGATGCCAAAACACCCTAGCATAGCCATAGCACCTTCACAGTGTCTKCCCTCTCTGTTGGATTGGGAAAATAATAAAAAATGAATCTGTGTTTGAAACTATTCAACACTGCCTTGGTTTAAGTGGCAGAATGGTTCTCCAGGGAATTGGAAAAGCACGCACACATAACCTCAGGAGTGCCTGATAGCTTTGGGGTTTCAGCAAACTGGGCAGAAGTGATAAAAGAGCTGGGTTAGCATCCTTGCCTGCTTGGGCTGGCAGCCAGCTCTGACTCTGCCCTGCAGCTCAGTTTCATTTCAGCAGTAGCTGGTCCATACAGAAGGAAAACACTGATACTAATGGGGTAGCCAGCAAAAGGAAAATCGTCTAAATCCTGCCTTTCCAGATGGGTTGTGATAGTTATGGTCAGCTTTCACAGCAGAATTACCTGTTTTCCTCTGTTGTAATATAAACCCAGGAGTATTTATGACGGTGGTAAGTCATACCCAAGGCTTGACTGTGCTGGAGCTGTGTCACTGAGGTGGCACTTYGGAGTGTGCCTGGAAAAGCACAAGAAAAAGGCAGAGAATTAAAGCAAGTCCAAAGAACCTATTTGGGGTATTTGAGCTACCTTAGTCTCTGTCTTATGACGTTTTTTTCATTTTTGCCAGTGTTGTCTTACATATTCTTCTCTGTGTATGTATTATTTTTGTTTTCTAAATGAGTTTGTGTGATTATTTGGGGGAAGGGGAATGAGCAGCCATGAAGGAGGCTGTCAGGAGAAGGCAGGTGTGGGGCGATCAGGGGCTGGTACCAGAAGGGACACATGCAGGTGCTCAGAGCAGAGCTTTGTCAGTACAGGGAGAGCTGGGTGAGTGTAGGGGAGGAGGTGCTCGAGCAGAGCTGTGAGGACAGTGGGTGATGGTCCTTCTGTTGGCACACAGTGGGGTTATTGCTTCCACAGAAGAACCTAATGGAGATGGAGAGGGCAAGGGCAGGGTAGGAGCTTCCCTTCCTGCCTAATATATGGCACCCTGCCCTCCTGAGACCCCTGCCTCAGTCTGAGTACTCACACTGCCTGCAGCTCTGGGGTCCTCAGCACTGGGAGGACTTGGAATGAGTCCARAGGAAGCCAGGGAGATGGTATGAGGGTTAAAGCACCTCTGCTGTTGATCAGGATGAAAGCTGCCATTATTGAGCCTGAAGAAGACTTCAGGGAGACCAGGGAAGCCCTTCCAGTGCCTAAAGGTACTCCCAGAGAGTGGGAGAGGGTCTTTGGACAAAGCCCCAAAGTGACAGAATCAGGGGCTTCCTATTGCCAGAGGGCAGGGTTAGATGGGATATTGGAAAAAAATTCTTGGCTGTGAGAGTGCTGAAGCGCTGGCACAGGTTCCCAGAGCAGCTGTGKCTGCCCCTGGATYCCTGGCAGTGTCCAAGGCCAGGYTGGGCAGGGCTTGGAGCACCCTGGGACAGTGGAAGGTGTCCCTGCCCATTATAGGGGCTGGAACGGGATGAGCTTTAAGGTCCCCTCCAAATCAAACCATTCTGTGATTTATTCTATGATTTTAGGATGTCAACCCAGTCTTCTGTGGGGAAAAAAAACCAAAAAAAAAAACCCAACAGAAATATCTCTATTAAATATCTCCGGCAGACAGAGTYTACATGGTGATGACAGATGTATATTTTGCAGTGCATTTGTTAAATTCATTAGTTTTGAGGCTGCTTTATCAGCCTCCTTAAGGCCAGAGCAGCTGAGACTGCTAGGCCTAGACAGGCACCAGAACAAACAGGAGGAAATTAATATTGTRATATTAAAAATGAAGTGCCTTTCATGGTTGGCCAAGCCATGGAATCAGTGTCATTTCTCATTATTGGTTTTGCAGTGTCTAAAGCTGAATCAGAAAGGGAAAAGACCAGTTGTACTTTATCCTCCTGCAGGCAGATGCTTGTGTTTTCAATAATCCCCAAACACTTGTCCCRTGTGACTGTAAGGAATATTCTGTTTCCGTGGTCTCTCAGCATGAGTTACTTGAGCTGATGTCAGGTTCTAGTATTGTACTGCTTGTTTTCCATTTCCAAGATAACTTTGTTTGGAAAGAAACCAGTCACAGTCACATCTTCATGCTGTGGGGAAAGCCCAGCTGGTGCACTGGARGCTGCAGCCTTTGCACTACCAGGATACAACAGCTGTAGCTGGTGCACATTTTAAAGGCAACAGATTGTGCCAGAACTGACACTGTTCACAGATCTGCAGACCCATTTAGGTTGGAAAAGCCCTCTTAGACCACCGAGTGCAACCATTCCCCAGCAGAAAAGGCCACGGCTAGCCTGTGTCCCCAGTGCCACATCCACACATCTGAAATCCGTGAAATCCGTGAGGGATGGTGACTCCACCGCTGACCTGGGCAGCCTCAGACAAAGTTGCCGAAATGCCAAGGTGTTGGCCAAGGAGAGGTCCCTTGGGCCAGCAGGGAGCTGTGGGTGCCTGGCTGGAGCTGTGGGTGTCCCTTCAGCCTGGAGCTGGCTGGTGCACGGGTGTCAGGAGCACAGGACAGGGGCTCACAGCCACGCTGGGGCTTTCGGCCCCGCAGGCGCCGCGCTCGTGCTCAAGTGAGCCCCTGACCACAGGCACAGCTCCGAGTGCTCTGTGACCCAGCCTGGCTGAGCAATGCCTGTGCACAGCTCTGCTGTCACCCCAGCGAGGGTGATGGACACACCTCATTCATCACCACCTGAATGGCCCTCTGCTTCCCTTGCAACTGGATGAGCAARGGGACTTGCAGTCTCATGGCTTTCCTGGAGCTGGGAAATCCACAGTTTGAGGCTGCTTTCCTGGCACTTGTTAATTGTGATGTTTTAGTCTGCACCTCCATGCAGGAATAGGCTGTGTGGGCCTCCATCAGTGCTGAGTCATCAGAACTGGGTAAGAGGTGGTGGTTAAAAAAAGGACATAACCAAGAGTCTCCTACCTAGGGGAAGATGCAAGAGCCAGGTGCTGTGGCTCTTGAAGTCTGTGTTTAGCTCACTTGGAGCATGGGATGAAGGTAGAGGAAGCAAACTGAAGTCATTAAGGTGTGTTTGTCACGACATTATCAGGTTCAATGCATGTGTGTAATGTTGGTTTTGGCGCATGACACAGTTCTATCCCTGGTCACACATAGGTAGCATTAAATGCAGCTGCTGCTTTGCTCAGGAATTGAGCTGAGACGTTAAAAGTTCAGAACTGGGATGAGTCAAATTTCTCAGTGCATTAAAAGAGCTGAAAATAAGCTTTTGAATTTRTGAAAAGGGCAAAAATGTCACCTCACATTTTCAGTGGCACTGAATAATCTAATGCTAGTGTAGGAAATGCTGTCATAGAACCACAGAATGTCCTGGATTGAAATCATGGATCATGGCATCCAGCTTCTACACGGGACACCTGAACAGTGCCACACATGCCTGAGAGCACTGTCCAAGATGCTGTATTTTCATAGGCAGCTGTTGGCATTCCTCATAGGTGCTTAGTTTGGCGAAAACTATCATTTTGAGGGTGCTAAAACAAGAATCTAATAACAGCTTATAGAAGTCTGGAGGTCTTAAAAACATGTCCTTGGTTCCTCTGTTTCTTGTTCTTTGGTTTCTGTTGATTTTGGTGGGTTTTTATGCATTACTGGTGTTAAAATCATGATACTGAAACATCTCTTTCAGTTCAACGTTCACCATCAGATTCAGGTTTCAGGTGAGAAAGGAGAAAGGGAAGTGAAGGAGGATATCAAATAGTCCCGTGTTTTTCTAAAACTGCCCGTGGAACAGAGGTTAATGCTCCAAAGCAGGACATCCCAGGGGAACAGTGCCAATTTTATTGTTAATTGAGAAGAGATATTAGAATCAGAAACATGGARTAAGTGTCCTATGCAGCCTTATGCATATATTCTTTTTTTTTGTGCTGAAATTTCACCTTCATACCAATGTTATCAATTGAATGTGAAATACCACATTGTTGGGAGATTCCCAGAATTAAATAACACTGTTTTTTCCTTATGCAGCAAATAGGTGCTGGCATGGTGGAGYTGTAAATTCTGTGACATGAAAAATGAATGAAATGCTGCAGATGTTTGGGGTAGCAGAAGTTCTCATGGCATTATGCAKGATAGAGTGTGTAATTTGGGAAGCTCTGCCATCCCATATTGAGAGACAAGAACTCTTTCTCTGCCCCTCACATGGAAAAACTGAATAATTGAAGTGTCTATTAATGGAATTCTAGAAAAACAACTGGARGTGGTCCTGGCAGCCCCCGAGGCAGAGCAGCACTGCTTTGTCCTTGCTCATTTTGCCTCATCTGGGCACAGCCACCACTGGCACAGGGCACTGAGCCACTGCAAGAGATCCCTTCCACCCTCACCACCCTCAGTTCCCCAGGGCCAGATGAAACAATTTTTTACAGAAATAAGGACTAGAATTTTTTAATCTCTTTTGAGGCTTGCTTCAAGAGTTTGGGATTTGGGTTAATTCTGCATTTAATAAAGTTTATTGACTTTTATGCATAAGATAACAGATATTTTAGTTCCTTTTGACATGCGAGGTTTGTTAGGGTGTTCATTTTCATTTGTTTAGTGATGCTTCCTGTCTTCTTAAAGAACTTTCTTCTCTGCCTCATATCAACCTTTTCTATTAATTTCCAAATACTCTTGTCTTTAATAAAACCCCAAAAAACAAAACAAACAAAAGAAACCCAACCCAACCCCCCAACAAAAATACAAAAGGAAAAAAGGAATGAACCCAAAGGAAAACCACCAAGGACACCATGACACCCCTGTGCCTGTGCCCCTGCTGCCCGGAGCCCAGCATTGGGCCGGGGTGCCGCTGGCACAGGGAGAGCAGTGCCCAGTAGCGACACTTCTTGTATTTCTCTTTTTGTAGGTAAATTCAGTAAGGACAGGACTGGGGAGCAAGTGCGCCGTTCCGGTGGCTTGCCCCRTGCCCACGGGATTAGCTCCTGGAGCTGCACCATCCCTGCCAGTGCCTCTGCCAGGGCCCGCCCTGGCGGGCGCGGTGACACCATATGTGATGCCTCTCTGTCAGTACGGAGCAGTTTTCCCTTCGCCCGTGTATGGAGTGCCGTGGCCGGGGCCGGTGGCACAGCCGGGGCTGGTCCGAGCTCCCGGCATCGTGCGCTTCTCGCCTCTGGGCAGGAGCTGCCTGCGGATGTACCCGGTGCCGCTGCAGCGCCCGGCCACTCGGCCGCCCGGCCCGCGGCTGCGCATGACCTAGCGCCGGTGCCTTGCCCTGGGCATCCTGCCAGGGGTCACCTTGACATGGGTGACCCTGTCAGTGGGTGCGTCGCCTTGCTGTGAGTGAGCGCGCTGTGGGTGACGCTGCCGCAGGTCCCGGTGATGCTGACGCTGTCMAAGTGCTGTTTGCTCTGTAGATCCGTGCGGGGTGAGGCGGGTCCCGGGCACAGCCATGCCCTGCAGCAGCAAGCACTATCAGGCGGCTCCACACCCGAGCGTTGGTCCTTACGGCAATATCTGCTTCTTTCCATTGCTGAAGACACTTTATTCCTTGTGTTGTGTTTCAGACTTGCGATCCTTAATGTCAATGTACTTGAATTGATAATTAGAAATTGTACTAACCCTCCAGGAGTTCAGTGCCTTGAATCTCAGCTTTCCAGTCCCAGCTGGAAAGAGATGTACAATTATTTGAAAGGTGTATTTTATTTACAATCCATCGCGAGTTGAAGTTATTTTTATTTGCAAAGATATCGCAGGTTCCTCATCAGCTTCATTCTGCTGTAAATGCTTTTGTTTTTATTCACAGGTTGAATTTTCATTTCTGAGGCTTTTAAAAATGAGAATTGTGAGGTGAGGTTTGTTTGACATGTTTGTTTGACACACTGATCGTAAAATTGTTGGTGTTTGTACAAGGAGTAGTGAAGTGCACATTGTAACGCAGGAGCTTTTACAGAGTGATCCAAGGAAGTGTATACAAGGACAGGGAATAGCTTCAGGCAGTGCAATCTGTTCTCCTCCTCAGCCTGTGGTAAAATCATTGTAGATGGCAACTTTATTCTGTAACAGGCAGCAAATTCTGTTTTCCTCTGGGTCAGCAGCACGTTGGATTTGATTTCATTTCCCTATCTGGGCTTTTATAATTTAGTTAAATTACAAGTTCATGCATGTTCCATAAATGAAGAAATCTAATAGAACTCTTGATCACAGGAGAATGTGTCTCCAGGTGGCTGTGAGACCTGTGTGAGCAGGGCACGCACACGAGTTCTGGCTCTGGTCGGGCCACTGAGATTGAGGGTGATGTTTGATCCCTGGTGTGCCAGCAGTGTTCATGCTAAAACAGAATAAAAATGTGAAGCTGTTCTTTTTCATATCTGACACTTCAGGTTTGGAGTCTCACCACCTTTTGTTTGGAATTATTTATTTATTTGTTTGTTTGTTTATTTATTTAATTTTATTTTTACCAAAGTTTGCGCTCCAGGTGGCATGGACACCTCKCTCCTTGAAAGTTGCTTTTTGCCCATTTTACTGTGCATTGAGTCTCCACCTGCACCTCAGTCTAAAGGCACAAGGTAACCACTAAAGCTGKTTTGCTTATGGTAAGTCTCCTTCCCTCCCAGAGTGCTATGGGCAGCATTACAGGCACAGGACGTGGAGCGTGGCCACACCCAAAGGCGCCTCCACCACGTTTTATATCCTGAAGGGCAGAGCCGTCCTGTGCTGCCAAGCTGTGAATTGTATAGCTCTGTTGTACTTTGAGCATTATACCTGTCTAAATTATTTTGTTTGTACCCTTTGAATATATTATTCCATCAATTCAGTTAGAATTGAATTTTATAGAAATTATGCAGAGTCTTCTGCCTGGGCAAAATACTTACTGTAGTAAGAGATTTCTGTTCTCTGTACCATGTATCTTTAATTTGTTTGGGTTTTTTAGATTCATGTCTGTATGCTTCATGAGCAAACATGGAAAATAYGTTCTCACATCGGGTTCCCTTTGGCTCGCACTGAATCCTACAGTTACGTCGCTACTGCCTGTATAGTCCATTCCTTGTATACTGACAAAGTCAGTGGCACTAAAAGCCCCAAGAAATTGTATAGATTCAAAAGAAAAATAAACATTTTGTGCTTGAAAATGGTGTGAAAAACCCAGTGTTTTTCTGAAACGTAGAACTGTGTCATTTCCCAGCCGTTCCAGGTAATTCTGCATTTGTTTTCCAGATTCATTCTTGTCCCTTGATTGTGTAGCAGCAGGAGGTGTGGTAGCTCCACCAGTTCTGGGATCCTCCCCACAGCTGAGCCCTGTGCACTTGTCAGAGGGCAGGGGTGCTCCAGGGGTGCTGGTASCTGGCCAGGCACTGTGCCCCGAGCCCCAGCGGGTGCTGTGCCAGTGCTGAGCTGCTGCAGCACCGACCAGGCTGGAGCCTTGGCTGAGTTCCTGCGAGCTGGTGTTCCCTCCGTGCTGCTGCTGGTGCACGGGAGGATGCTGAGTTTGCTAGGTGGGAAAGGGGCCCGTGAACTCTGTGTCTCCTGAGCTGCAGAGCACTAGGGAAGCCCTTCTGAGGGTTCCTGGCATCGTTTAAGTGTGAGGAAACTCAGGGCTGTTGCCAGCACCCTCTTGGAAGTCAGCATGGTTGTGTTAGGCTGCAGGAGAAATGGAGAGTGTGCAGGTGTGACGCTGCTGCATGTGTGTCTGTGTGCTTTGCTGTGTGTGCTGTGTGCCTTGGGATGTCCGTGCTCTGCACTGGTGCCACTGCCCCGCCGGTGGCTGCACTGCATGGCTGCATTCCCCAGCAGGGGCGGGGGTTGGGGGGCAAAGATGGGTGCAGCTGCCAGATCCTTGGTGGGTGTGCACCTGCCTCTTTCTCCGGGGCCAGGCAGTAGCTCAGAATGTGTTGCTGGCATTGCTGTATTTGTGATTTTTAATTTCCTGATGGCCCTCTTTGCTGCAGCTCTTTTGGTTGTTCACTTCAAGCCCTGCTTTTTTGCCCTCTGTTGTGAGGATTGTGTCACAGATGCTTTGACCTCAGTGGCAATTAAGCAAATTACATGAGATTAAGTAAGTGGAGCAACTTCTTGAGCAAAAGGTGAGCCAAGGATGGGAAGGACCTGAGCAGTCTGTGCTGCACCATCAGAATGGGAAAACTGTAGCCAAAAAGATCCCCCACAGATCCTAGAACTGAACTAATTTTATTCCTAACTCTGAATATTGCTTCAGTGTGCAGCAAATGGGTCAAACCTGCTGGTAGAATTCCTAGCCTTGCTGGTTCCAGGCCTGCATGTCCTGTAGCTCTGCCATCACCCAGCATTCCCAGCCTTGTGCTGYAAGGATGTGTGGGAAGTCAGCACAGATGCTCAGCTTTAAATACCAGATTTCAATGAGGGAATCCACAGATCCCCCGACTTTCAATTCAATGTTCTTTCAGTAACACAAATTTAATACAAATCTTTAAAGGRTATTTTAACCTTCCAAGTCACGCACTCAGTAATGGTAAACTTGTGGACTTTTCAGTTTGGGAAGTTGGGAAGGTAGTTACAGTTTGCCTGTGTGCCATTTATTTGGCTTTCTGATTGCCTTRCATCGTGATGGAGTATCTTAATGCACAACCAAATCCTGCTTTCCCACTGCAGTCCCAGATTGCTTGGAGTGAGACTGGCATGGAGAGGAGCTGYTTCCACCAACACTGCTAATCTGTCACAGGGATGCAAAGCTGGGCACTGGAGATGGCAGGGAGAACAACTGGTGTGGTTTAAGGCTCTTTTGCAAATCTGGGTTAAACCTGTCTGGCAAAGATATCACTCAAAATAGTGATGCAGCATTGACACTTTCAGTGTGTTTGCAGATTTAACTCTGGTCTCCATTCCACAACTTTCAAAAGGGAATATTTTTTAAATTCCTTTAAAAAAGAAAAAAAATCTTGAAAAACTTCATTTAAAGGGAAGGATTGCCCAGAGAAGCTGTAGCTGCCCCGTCCCTGGCAGTGTCCAAGGCCAGGTTGGATGGAGCTTGGAGCAACCTGGGATCATGGAAGGTGTCCCTGCCCATTACAGGGGATGGGAGCAGATGGGCTTTAAGGTCCCTCTCAACCCAAACCATTCTGGGATTCTRTGATTACTTAACAYTGCTTCATACCAGTCTCCACAYTGCTCCATTCTTGCCTTCTKCTTTTCTCCAAAATAACTGACATTAAGTGGGATCAGAGGCAAAGCAAGGGACTGAACAGGTGAGACATTGCAGTCTCTGTGCTCCTGCAGAGAYCCTCATGTTGAGGAACAGGGTGCTGGGGGGCAGTGTTCCTGAAATGGGCTCCTTCATCCAGTGGCAGGTTTTGCTGTTTGGTGTTTGTGGAAGGAAATCACTGATATTTTGAATCATTAGTTCAACTTGGYTTTGCCAATGGTAGCTCTTTGCCTTCAAGCATTTTTCATTATCCCAGTGTGTTACTGTCACGTCTGGGAACATTCAGAACTTTTCCAGAAAAACTCTGTGGACACTTTGTGGGTCCATGTTGATTTTATTTAGTTTGCATGTGTTTGGGCAGGAAAAAATCTGTCCTCACACATGCCTTGGAAGTTGGCTTTGGAGAGTTGTAAGCGGAAGTCTCCATTCTGACTTATGTGACTTCAGTATTGCTTTACCTGTCATCCCCACTCCCCCCACCACCCTGCTATGAAGGAAAGGGTTCAAGGCTTTTGGAGCGAGATCAGATATTAGCTATTATGGCAAAAACTTCCTTGTTTTMTGCCTTGCTGCCAGCTAGTTCCCCCCTAGTTTTCCACGGATGCTGCTGAAAGTGTTGTCTCAGAGACAGAAGTCACCCATGAAATAGTTCCTGACTGTGTGTAACATSCCAGTGAGGTTTCCTTGCCTGCTGCAGTTCTTCATCTGCCCTCGTCTGTCCCCATTTTCTGGTGATTTCTGTGGGTTAATGTGGGCATGGACTCACTGCAGAGCATGCATGCTCTTGTCATGGATGGATGAATGTCTGATACGGGATTGAATTTATAAAACAGCAAAACCATGATTGTGTGTTGTGTCTGGCTGTGGTCATTTATCATGGATTGAGTTCTTGAGGAGCACCTCAGGGATTTGTGGTGTCGGGCTGTGCCAGGCTGGCACTTGGGCAGACTCAGCTTCTGTGGAATTGTCTCATGTACTGATCTCTGTTATTATTTTATCCCTGACAGTCATTTTCCTGTCTGTACACTGCAGTTTGTTGATCTGATGTGAATTTTGTYGTGACTCACACATGTTGGTGCCTTTTGGCTGTGGAGTGATCCCTATGGATTCAGCAGGACAGAGATGCTCTGGCCCTGACCATGCTGTTGTTTTTATTAATGCATCAGAGCTCCAGAAATGCAATGTAATGAGATGRATTTTAGGAGCTATCAGGTTACAAATTCTGCTCTATGAAGGAATTCGTTGCTCATAGGGGTTTGGATGTACTGCCCTGTTGCCATTGGCTGTGTCAGCACAGAGATCTCTCACMCCTCATTCATCTGGAAGTCAGGCTGGCACCAGGAGGTGGCTGCTGTTGGGAATGATGTGCTCCCTCTCTGCTGCCTTCCCAAGGGTAGTTGTGGTGTGCTATCAAGGCTGTTGCTGCACGTGCTTGGATCTATATTTGATTATAAACTTTTCCTTTGAAATAATTTTCTTATGAGGAGTTTGTGGGTTGAGCCTTCAGTCTGACACATAAAGCCTCAGGAAGACTGAAGGCTCACTTGGTCACCGTGGTGAAGCTGTTCATAGACAATGCTCGATGGTTTGGTAAAGTATGTGCCACAACAGTGAAATTCCTGTGAGAAGCTCTTGGTTTTTCCAATTCTATTGAGCAAGGAGCACTTGGATGGGTTTCTTTGTACAATAGAATGAATGCATGGTGAATATTGAGCACGTTGGTATAGTCACAAGGCAKAGGGAGAAGTTAGGATTATTTTTTCCCCTCAGAAAGGAGCACATCCATATACTTTGCCTTTCTTTATTGAGGCACCACTCGAGCATCAGCGGTGGCAATGTGGCTTTCGAGGAGCTGGGCATGGTGAGAGCCTCTCCAGCCACTCCTCAGGTGACTTCATTTTGCCTGTTGCAGTTTTTGTGAGGTATTCAGGGCTCTGACACCTTGGAAAAACTTAAGAGATTTAGAAAGAAATAAACAGATGCCTGTGCTTTTCAAATGGGGGTTCTTCAGGTCTGATRTAAAATAGCCCCAAAAAGTATTTATCATGTGTTGTTTTTTTCAATGACTTTGCAAATAAGGTAAAAACTTCCTGAGCATTTCTAGTTCGTTTATCAGACTAGAGAGGCAGAATCTGGTATCTTTGTCAGCACTAGGCAGCAGCTGCAGGGTGTGCTGTGACTGCCTTTTCCCATCACTCTGTCCGTCACCAAGCAAATCCTGCGTGCGTGAGGCCACTCAGCCTGGGCAAGCTCAGACTGACTGCAGTGAGAAGGGAGGAGGTTGCCACGGCTGAGCACCGTGGGGGTTTGTTTGAGGAGTCAAGKGCCTGGGGAGCTGGCTCTGCTCTGGGGGTTGTGGCTGCCACTGCTGCCAGGCGTTGTTTCCTGGTTACCTGGTGATAGTTAATTTTGTCCTGTTTTCCTGGATGGAACTCTGTGACAAATGCTGGTTATCCACAGTGAGCGGGTGTTGGGTGGATCCAGGTGGATCTTCAGAACTGATGTTGATCAGGAGCTTAGGGAGGAATTAGGAGCAAGACATGATTTTCCTTCCCTTAGAAGTCAATTCTTCCCATGAACAGGCAGAGCAGGGAATACAGGAGGGAGAAAGTCAGGCTTGCGTTTAACAAACGCACAGCCCAAACCACAGAGCCCCAACAGGAGCTGTGCCAGCTCCAGGCAGCGTCTGCACCATGCGCTGTCTCCCGGATTCCCCCGCCTTCCCTGCTGCCCCAGGGCCTCTCTGCTCCTCCAGGGTCTCTCTGCTTGTGTTCTGAGCGCATCCCGAGCCCATCTGCCCCGTCTGTCCCATCTGTGGCTGCCACTCCATAGCAGTGTTCATGTGTCTGCCTGTGTTGCAGTGTCTGGCGTGCATGTCCCTGTGAGCAYGTCCCCAGCACAGCCAGCATGTGCAGTGGCATTTGCTGCAGGCTGTGGGGATGTGAGGTGACGCCCTGTGCTGCTGCTGCTGCTTCA